CTCCTGGGGAACCTCAGCCTCCTTGACTTCAGGTGCCGGGACGACCTTAGCCGTCTTGACCTCCTTGACTTCAGGCCCTAGGACGACCTCAGCTGTCTTGACTTCAGGCTCCATAGGCTTGTCAGCCTTCTTGACTTCAGACACCTCAGTCTCAGCCTTCTTGACTTCAGGCTCCGATTCCAGGGCGACCTCAGCAGCAATCCACTCATTCTTGGTATTTGGTGAACAGGTGTCGGCCAGATAGAGCAGATCCACATCCATTGGAAGAGTGTCCGCGCAATCGATGGGGGGACCTCCTTCAAGGGTTTGCTTGTTTGTTCGTAGTGAACCGTGGTTGGGGGTATAACAAAGTGTCTTACAGTTACAACCTTTTTTTCCACACTCCCCAAAAGTCCTGGAGGGGAGGGTTGCGAAGACGCTCTGCGGACAGCAATCTCGGCCCTGCACAGTGGAAAACCAATCATGAAACATTTTGTGAAAGACCAGTCTCAAAGAAACAATGGTATAGAGGGCATAAACATTTTCCCCATTATTGTTACCCAGCCTGAGCTGATTGATGCGGTCCTGCAGGACTCCTGGAGAACTTGAGGGAGGGATGGCCTCACTGGTCTTTGCCTCAGAAGAATGGGTGGCGGAAGTGGATTCAACCAATCCATAGCCATCGTCAGCCGCGGGCCGGCGTTCTGGTCCAGATTCCTCTGGATCAAGCTCGATCACAACACCATTGACGGGGCCATCCTCGATTGCTAGCAAGGGAGCTTGTGCTTCTGGTTCAGATGCATCTCCACCCTGAGCCTCCCAATGGGAGTCAAAGATATCCCAAATGTCCAGAAGGCAAGAGTCCTGAGCAAAACGCCAGCAAAATTCCATAACCCTGATTGAAATTCTTTACTGTACATAAATCCTTAGCCAGGAAAAAAGGACATGCTGAGAACTTAGAGACGAAGATCTCGTGGCGTAACGCTACCAGCCAACCAACGGCGCAAAGCAAAGGTGAAGAGCTTTTTGATTCCCCAGCAATCCACACTCATAACTCCCAGGTCGCTAGCAGGGAGTTGCATGAGCTCACGGAAACGCTTCACCTGCAAGGGTTGAACATTGACTGGACCCATTTTTGGGAGAAAGGTTGACCGAAAGAAATTGCATGACCTTAAACATGGCAATGGAGTCCCGCCTCAATCCTGATGAGGTTTATGGGCACTGATTGTGGGATCTGGTGTTGGGTGCACCACCACAAAGCAGTCTTCTCCAAAATGACCTTGTTAAGAGAGAAAGCCTGCTTGGTAGCAGCACCGACCAAATGCGGAGCCGGCCACTCACAAAGGGCTTTGTTCATACGGGCTCTATCACGAATGTTACCATTCTCCTCCCACAATTTGTGTAGGTCGCTTGTCGCCATGGTCGATCCGAAGTCTGTCCAAGTTGACTTGAGCACGGGAAGAGGCTGTGAGAGAAGCGAAGCTGATGGACCAAAGGCACATGCATGCCAAGACCCAGAGTGCACAAGTAGTTGAACCAACATCCATTTAGGATTGCTAGGGCTAGGGGTGTAAATCCCTGTAAGCATTTGTCATGAGAGAATTGGAGCAATACAAATTCCGGCCTCTATAAAGTTCGATGCATGGCCCACCAGCATGAAGAGGTTGTAGGACCGGATACCTGCTGGGTGAGAAGTAGAGACATGCAAAGGGGAAAAGGTCAGCCAAGGGCGCACAGGATGCTGGCGGTCAAGATGTCCAAGAAGATCAGGATTTGAGCATAGGAGTGCTGCTCATTTGATTCAAAGTCGCAGCGGAACGTCGAAACTCCAAAAAACGTCGATTCCATCAAAAACCTGGTTTTTATCGAAAAAGCGGAAATTGTAACCCTAGAGGAAGACTTAGGTATAAGTTCACCTAAAGACGTCTATAAACTACAAGTTGTATACTATATAAAACAATTGTAGACACCATTTGTCCTGCCAAGTGCGGCCGAATTTTCTGGGAAGACCTCGGACCACCAGACCGGACGTCCGGACTGGTGCGGTAAATCGAAGCACGTTCCATACATGTCAGCGGTAAATCGAAATAACTGGTATAGACTCAATAGAAGAAAAGGTTCCTTTAAAACAATACAAACCAACTAGAATATGCTAAAATAATAGCTATAGATAATAAACAATATGGACTCTAAATAGAACAACACCGTTAAAGAACAATTAATAAAGCGTTAGTCGGTTAGATGCAAATGCATTTTGGGAGGCAAAGAATGAAAATGACTTACTGGAGGGTGCGCGACTCTGGCAATCACTATATAGTGGGATAGGATCAAGAACGTCCACCAACCCAAATCTCATCCATGGAAATTATTGTTGATTTGCTTTCCAATAATTTATTCTGAAGATTTTGAAGTGGAAGTGTCGTTTGAGAAATGCTCCAATTCTTGGCATGAAAGGAGAGCCAGCAATATAAGCGCAATGTGCGCTCAAAAAAAGATTGGCAAGCTCATGCAAGCAAAGATCGGGACATAACTGAAAAGGTTTTCCCCTACTGGCCAGCCTATGATTGAAGCACCACCTTGCTACTTGCGTACCAGTTCACTGTCAGTAGAACAATGTAGAAACTGCATGAAAACAGAGTTTCGACGTTTCGGAACGCCTTTTCTTGAGCCAAAATACGTCAAGAGTCACGTGTCTGCAGTACCTATAGCGGAGTATATATGGGCTGTACATACAAACACTCCTCCTCTTGCAAAGCACTGTACTGCTGCGCAAGCATAAAAGTAAACATGTGAAACTCTCGCTGCTTAGCCACTTTCAGTTGTGGTAGTGGAGCTTGGCCAGGGACCTTACTCCAAAACATCTAACTGTCCTTTGCTTCGCTTGCTGAGGAATGCATATTGCAGATCCTCCATGGTTTTGCGAAGCTGCACCCCAGGAACCGATTTGGTCAAAACATCGGCTTTGTTCTTGACTCCTGGAACGTGGTGCACCTTCAAGTGGCCTTCGGCAACCCTTTCTTGCAACCATAGGTAGCGAGTTTGGATGTGTCTGGCTTTACCCAAACCCACTCTATTCACAGTTCCTTTGGCTGCATTGGAATCGCCCTCGATGGTGACTCCTAATTCCAAACCAAGGTCTGCGCATAGGCTTTGGAGGCCTAAGCCCACAGATCCTCCCTTCACAAGTGCGTAGTATTCACTCTCACCTGTAGAAAGGGCTACAGTGGATTGGATGTTA